CTCAGTTAAGAAAAGCCCTCTTCATAGCATTTTCTGATAATGCTAGGCTGTGTTGAACCTTTCAGAGAGCACTGCTGAAAAAATGCAAAAGAGCACGTCCACCAAGGATTCGAACCTTTGACCTCGTATACTATATTCTGTAACACTACCCACTATGCTACCGAGGCACAACGTGTGCGAGCTCACTTCTGATTTGTATACCACGTCTATTGCGCTCCGTGAGCGAAACACTCACCGACCGCCTTAAATAACGGGCACTAGCACAACTCATGAAAAAAAGCTCATTTTTAAAAAACACAAGCTCCAAAACCATGCCAAAGTGTGTTCTTCGCGTACCACAGAACACAACAATGGTATAGTAATGAAGAATACATCATACAAAAAAAAAGAATAAACAAAAAATAAATTGAAATACTCACCAGCCGGCAATTTTACGGGCAGCTTGAAGAACACGGGTGTAAAAGCGGCTCTAGTCTTCAAAACCGTGTCAGAGAGTGTTCTCAGCAAAGACAGGAACACATCAGTGACACAGTAATGAAAAAGAAGCCAAATAGGGGGAAGAAATGGGGAAAAAACAGACGAAACATGAAAATGCAAAAACAATAGCGAAAAAAGCATTTAAAACAACAAAAATTACACCAAACCAACAAAAAGAGCAAGACACTAATACAATTTATCAAGAAAAGAAAAAAAGTAACACACCTTCTCGAAAGCCGGCCGAAATAAGACGATTTTTGGAGAAAAATCGGCTTCGTCGAGTCGATAATCAGCTGATCGCCGCGCCAGCCGTCAATGGGCAGGCGGCAGAGTACTATGCGGCGCGTGTCGAGCGCGTAGGGAGTGAAGGACGCATTAGTAGCTGCCGCGCCGCCGACAGTTTGCTACTCCTGACGCGGTCGCTGATTCACCCGCGTCCGCGTCCTCCGATTGTTCCTATCAGGCGCGAGGATGACGACTGTAGGCTTAACCTACGACTCTTTAAATGTGCCATTCGCCGTTAGTAACGCAAAATGTTTCCTCTGACGCAGGTCCACATGGCCCATCAATTTCACCCTAATGTAGAGCCGAGGTGTAGTATGGGGAAGAGGTTTAATGTACGATCGATGTACGCCCTCGTTTAATTACTTCCCTCCGCATTTAGTTTGCCTAACGGTCGGTTAATGTTTTTCCTTTGTTTCGGTTTGATTTGCCACCGGTTTGGTTTGCCTTTCAGCGATCTGATTTGCCTTCGAGTTGTATGTTCTTAATATTCATGTTCTTTTTTGCTGTCGATGGTGCACTTAAGTGCTATTAAATAAATAAATAAATAAATAAATTAACAGAGCAGATCATTAAAGTAATGGATAAGGCAACCTTGTTAGCCTAAAACGCTTTTCCAAGGTTTTCTAGCTGATATCTCCGTTTCATGAGCTAAAATCATGCACTTGATGTCGAAATCCTCGCCACCATGATTATCAGTCCGCATCAAGGAATATCTATCCGGCAAAGGGCACAATAATGTGTCACACGTTTGGGAAATGTAAGAACAGAGCCATGCTCATGATGGTGAGGTTTCGACATCAGATGCATGATTTTGGCCCATAAAACGGAGATATCAGCTAGGAAAGCGTTGGAAGCGTTTTGGATTTTAGCACGAAATCCAAGCATGAATAACCGAGACGAGCGCGTATCCATTACGAATGATCTCCTTCCGTTTATGGAACATTGCGGATTGCGTGAGTGATAAGCGATGAGTATGATAAGCGCATGTCTTTGATACTAGAACGCGAAGTAATACTCATTCGCTTACTAACATATAACTAACTGGATGTAGATAGTGACGGAATATAAGGTGAGCTTGTCTTTTCACTTCTAGTACATATTTAACATGCTCCTGAGACGATATCAGAAATGCTAGAGGGGCCTGGGCGTTCGATGGGGTAGTATGTAATTCTCAAGCTTTGAGCCATGTTTAGGGCTTTGAAGACGACGAAAAGGTCGAAACGTTGGCCGAATAAATATTCCACCTGAAAACCTCGAGGTGGAATTCCTTACTACACCACAGACAGCCCTTTTATGCACTCATGGTCAGGCATCATATCAGTCCTCTCGATCATACATGTTCACTGTCTCCATTCTCACTTTCCCATTCCACAGCGCTCCGCTATAAGGGGTCATGACTAAAACCCTTGAGAGAAAAACAAATACAACTATTTCGAAATTAATTTACACAAGAGAGTGTCACCCACTTCAATGATTTACCCGCATCCGCTATAAACTCAGCTTTCCAAGCTCATTCAGAATCAATGTAAGAAGGATCAGTACAGTGCACAGAAGCAATACATCTACCAGTTGTTCATAGCATGACCTTGTCTCGTTTTAGAATGGCTTTTTAATGTTTAATGTTAATGTTGTCTTACTTATTGTGTGTTTTCTTTAGTTGCTGCTCCTCTGCTACCCCGTTCTGCGAACTTGGAGTTTAGACTCCGGAATGTGTGCGGACCTACTAAGCTTGGTGATATGAGCTCATCGGAAGTTGTTCTAGTTATATGACTCATTGATGGTCACTCGCTCGGTCAGCGCTAATAGCTCCATCTTCTAATGGATACTGGGCCCCAGAACTTTGCCTTTAGGAGAAGACTGTTTTTACGCTCTAAATGCCATTTTTTTCAATGCCGATAAGAACGCAACCGCGAATCTTTTCCCAGGCTTTGAGCACGGTTGGTTCAGTTTTTCACCTAGCGGAAGCTTTCTTCATATGTCTCCCATACTTCAGCTACCATTCTTATTCCGAAAGCATCTGGGAAATGAACTACAGGGCCGTTCACAAGAGTTCGACATAGGTTCCGTAACGCACCAACGATAACGAGATTTCAACATGGAGCACATTTTCGCTGCCGCTTTCACCTTGCTGGCAACGAGTTGTGACTCATCCAAGCATATCTACCAGTGAATAAGATTCATTTGAGGATATATACATACGAATTCAACTCAAGAGTTATATCTGGATATAAACACTCACTCGCCAAAAATTGACTGCTAACAAGGGACTCGGAAAGTTTTGAGTCCTATGTTTGCTCGAATATTGTGTTTTCCAAGATCCTCTTCAAATACAAACAATGAGAATTCTCAGTAAGGAAGGCGAATTCAACCACGTCGTACAAACTGAGTGACGAAGGATTTGTAGTAATATTGTCTATTTTGAATGGTCGTACGTAACATAAGACGATATCGCATGAATTCAAGTAGGCAGGATGCTTATAACCATCCACTCCAACGCCGTAATAAACCTGAACATACCATAAAATGGCTAAAACTGAAAATTCTCGCGCAAGCAGCTAGAATTGAAAGGTCAGCCGTCTCTGAGGAATTCAAAAGAGAATTAGAGTTCCAAGTTTGCTAATTACCACGTGGAACCAAAAGCAACAGTAAGCGAGTGTCTTAAGTACCAGCACTTAAAGGCGTTTCGACACGATAAATCCCCCAAGACGAACTAGATCAAATAACTTCAGGTCGGGAATAGAATTCCGCGACCCTGGCAGGCCGCTGCTAGTGCGTTCCCCAAGTAAGCTCCCTTATAAGGGCCGCCTATTCACAGCCCAAACATATACGTCTTAAACGCTCCGTTCACGGCCACTTCGTGCCACAATGGTGACCGACCGTTCCTGATGCTCGCATTCACTCATTTGCTAAACAAATTATGAAGCGAAGGGATTAGTATGAAGCTGTCGTGATGCTGCATACATGGGTACACATGTGCAGCCGTATCTTCGGTAGCGGTTACTGGCAAGATGCCTACGGGAAACTCGTCCGAAATCGATTTACAAGTCACTGAGAACGGAGGCTTTTTCTTCGCAGGATTTTGACCGTTTCACTCCGTTCTTTCGCCATTTCCCCACTATACAGCGCCCTACTAGCATTTCAGGCTAAGTAGGAAACCATCGTGCCAAACCTTTGAGTCAAGAGTCGCCCACGGAACAGCAACAGCTTCTCTATCCCTCTGTTTTCTCAACAACATCTCCGAAAGTAAATAAAATTTACGTGATGTCAGTTGAGAGCTTCATGTTTTCGGGCGATGGGCCAAAAGCGACGCTGGAGATGGAAAAAATAAACATGTGGCGCCTAGCATTCGCTACGCTAGGATCTAACTATTGTAGATGCGAAGTGTAGACGCTATTAAATTCGGCTAGGTAGGAAATAATAGCGAGTCTGTAGGCTTCCGCCTCAAGTGATGACTCGCGCTGTAAGTCTCGGCGCAACAAACCGCAGTTCTCGTTCTTACGCACCCATGCTCAGTTTCTGATCGAATATGACCTTTTAATTTGTGCATCTGGCCTTGTTCTGATATGCCGATACGTCACAAGCGTGCTCTGACACGGTGTGATCCGGTCCACGCGCTGTCATTGCAACCACGCTCCAGTGCTGTGTACGGGAACACATACAGGGCTACAGCGCGTCGACGCGCTTCACCGCGAAATATAAACGCTGCAAGCCTGCTATACTTGCCGACTACTTACGACCTTAGGCAGACCTGTGAGAACGACTGAGTCAATCCCAGAAGTCTGTGGCGCTTTTATAACCGTTTTCCTTTTTATGGGCTTCCAAAAATCAAAGGCTATCGAAGAAGACTTACGTCAACAACGACTCTTTCCCTACAATGGCGACGAATTTCTTCAAACCATTGATGAAGCAACGCTTCCGGAACAACAATCAATGTCGCTGATATGTCGAAAATCAAGCCCTGTAGAAGGAGAAATAAGGGGAACTTCTCACAACGAGCGTGGAACAACTTCAGACTCACTCTATCTGCAATACAGACCGGACAAACGAACCGAATAGGTAAAGCATCAAGTTGCTGTGACCAGTGTACCTTAATCAGCCTGCTTCAAAAAGGCAACAAAGGCGATTCTTATACCATGGTCTTACCGTAGACTTTGGAAACTTCATAGTGCAAAGCTCACAAACAACACCGTGTCTAGTTGCTTTGCGTACAATACCATTTCCATCGCAAAAGCGTTTTCTTGGTGGCTCCTGAAATCGACCGCAAATAAAACTATTATATTGATCCAATACTCAAGGAGTTGAAAGAAGGAACTGACCAATTCCTCGGCTTCTTCAGCCGCAACAATTGTTGAAACCATAGATTCAACACACGCACGCACTTCCATATAATCATCATCGTCATCGTAGTCATCAGAACTGAACTATTGGTTTTTAGCTAGTTATGTTATGATAATTGCTATCACGAGAATGCTGAATCATTGCCAAAATTCAGACTCCAGCCCGTGACTGAGAAATATCCGCTTATAGCAATAAAAACACCCCCCCTAAAAAAATTACCATTCAGAGGACGAACTACTAGCTTCTTCCCATTGCTCCATAGCTTGCAGGTGCAAATGCTCTGGACGTATTTTCGGAGTGTGCGTCAGTATCAATGCTAGTAACTCGACGGTTTTTCCCAGACCCATCTCATCAGCCAAAATACCGCCTGCGCAAAATGTCAATGAGTTGATATCTTTGGAAAGCAATAGTAAGTCAATTGATAACTATGCTCAATTGTAACTCAAATGAATTTAATTCTTCAAATTATTTGACAAAAATCCAAGTAATAAGGGGGAATCAGATGTTAGGAACGAACTTCAATATTTTGAAAGTATGAATGCGATCCGACGCCACTCCCGCCCCCAAAGAAAAAAAATTCTTTTAATTACCTGACTGTCCTTTCTCAACTAAGAAAGCCAGTCAGATAACTAATACAGGCATGTCCGAGTTTGAGTTCGTAAAGTGGACTTCTACAAAGGACAGTTGAACTCACGTACACTTAACATTACACCTCATACTGTCAGGGATAAGGGGGAGAGGGGGGGGGGAGAAGCTGGAGGTCCCATCGTAACAGACATCAGAAAGCTTGCTGCAGAAGCTGAAAGATGCCTACTCTGATTCTGCTGATCCCAGGGAAAAAAGTCGTTCTCTGACTGAAAGTGGCCTCGGAAAACCAGAAGATAGACTTACCATAGCTCCCTGAAACCACGAGTTTGCTCTCAGTAGGGTAGTCAAAAGGTCCGCACGTTCTGATCTGAGAACGTTAGGCTGCCATGGTACAGTCATCGCTGAGGATCCTCGACACGAGGGGGGGGGTATCGGCGAAACCCTCTGAAACAGCGGCTGTAACACTACTATTTTTGATCTTGATCGGAGATTCTTTTCTGCCTTGCGGCAAGTAAATCGAGGAAGAAGAGAGAGAGAGAGGCGAGAGAGCAGGACAGAGAGACAGACAGACAACAGACAGACAGACAGAAGACAACCGAGAGAGAGAGGAGAACAATTTGGAGTGGGAGGACGGTCCTAATACTGCAACTTTTCTCAATTGAAGTGTGAGCAAGCTGCACAGATACTCTCATATTGGATATAGAACTGCATAAATTTCTAGCGCTCTTTTCTAGATATGACAACAGCATTCCCTAGAAAATATCTGGAAAGCAAACCTCTGATGTCTTGTGTATAGGGCTGCCTGTCCAAGTCCCTCACAAATAAACCAAGATATGGAAAATAATAAAGATTGTCACTGATGGGTAATTTTGTAACGCTGAAAGGAGATGAACTCAAATCCGCAAAAAAAGACGAAATACTTATTACCTCATCAATCTTCCATCATACTTGACCGTTCTGGATGAACGTTCCCTACTGTACCACTAAAATTAACAAGCAATCTCTTATGGAACTTGGCAGTAATCTACTTATAATTCTTCGCAGAGCCTGATAAACATGAATACCTGTATCTTTAGTCCTGCCTCACTATTTGACCAATGTTGCTGCTTCATTAAGAGTTTCTCAAAAATAACTTACTTCAGCTTATACGAAGGAGGATTTTGTCGGGCATCGCGAAGCTTCCCAAAGAAAATTTCAAAATTCTCTCTAGACCTCTGACGAGCAAATGAAGCCCAGTAACTGGGGTGCATGACTAGACTGGAGTCCTTAAAAGGGAGGATTATCTGTAGATTCACCACAGTATAAAAAAGACGATAATGATCTGTACAATATTGATAAAAATTTTAGAGATGTAATCGATAGTTATTGATAAAAATGCCTCAGAATGGGTCGAACGTATGATATGGAAGGATCCTCATTCCCTCATCCCTTATGTTCCACCTTATGAAAAAAGTCCAATCCACTCAAAGAAAAGGAGGGATCATGGATACACTTGTAAATCCGAAAATCGTAAAAAAAAACCTTGACAGTGTCGTGGAACAGAACGGCAAGGATTCTAGATGCACAGCGGGTATAACCTTCTCGAACTATTCTGCGAATCAGGCTCTGCTTGATAATAGTTATCACAGCTATGAATATGTGACTCTTTGAGATACACATGTAGAAAAACCACTGATCGTTCTAAACTCCATCGCATTTCGAATCCACAAGATGTGATCGCACTGGAATTCAAGCAACGAGATCAGTCCTACCAAGACGCAGATCATTCATATCCTGAAAACGGGAAGGACGTAGCTGCGTAATTCATTTCAGCATGGCCTAGAGTGCGTTCTTCATAGGATATTTCTATTCAAGACAACTGTCTTCCTGCTTTTTAGTGAGAAAGACATGACCATGGTGGTCTGCAAAAACCAATATTCCACCCTAGCGCGACAGCCGCCACGCTGAAATGGACTTCGCAGCCATGCCCTCCCCATGTCTAGGACGTGCAGTGCATTAAGCCAACATTGAGACTTACTCAGGAGAGTGGTAAAAAATGCCCAGTGCTTCTGGAGTCGGACGATAGGACACCATTGGTACCACCTTCTTATGGGCATCTGTTCGTTTTCTCTGCTTCCGCTCCATTTTGAGAGAAGCTCTGCAATAAATCTGAAAGCACATTGTCAGAGTAATATCGACGATGAGCAATCTTGAACTGAGTTCCTCCATAACTCAGGAAAAACAGCATAAAAGAATTGAACACAGTAACACAAACAGTATACATACACCTTTTTGGTTCTATGACGGACACTTTTTGAACAAAATTGAACACATTTCATACCAAATTTGGCACTTGTCAAATCCAATTGGACATCTTCAAATCTAATTGGACGCATCCTTTACATCGAGCAAATGAACAGTAGGCACTGTTGCACCCCACCCACTTTTAGCGCGGTTACGGTTTCTCCGATATCGTTTTCTAAGTTCTGCTTCTGTGATTTATTTTTGCCCTTTTACAATTCTGCACATTCACACTAACTGGTATTGATATACCGACACAAGCATGACTGTGGGTTATCGCGAAGTTCGAATTTCGTAAATTCTCTCAAAGTCATTCCTTCCCGCATACATTCTTCACTAGGCGGATGTACGTACTTTCTCCTCATTACAAGCCCCACCCACTTCGAAGGAAGCTCCACCCACTTTTGAAAAACGATCCAGATCGTCAGGCTGGGGTCCGAACTAACAGATTATGGTCCTGCCTCGCTCGTAACAAAAAACTAGGGAAAGTCTGCCTCGAGAGACGAGCAAGACCGTAACCTGCCAGATGAGACTGCCGATATGAAACGTTCAAAGTGGGCGGGCGTATTGGGGCGGGCTTGCGGCAGTACCTATAGCGTCCTACTTAATCAGCTGCCCGATGTACAGAGTTTGTCCCGTTTGTTTCGAAAAGTGTCCGAATTAGTTTAGAAAACTCCTATTTGGAATGAAAGTAGTATAATGAGGATATTCGCCCAAGCACCTGCAGATAAGCACTCACATAGTTCCAGTTGTCCATAAGAGGTGTTTTGATGAAAATCTGTCGATCTTCTCCAAGACAAGCATCGTCATCAAACGGTGCATGGCAACTACCCAATTCTACGGTACCCAAATACAGTAATTGTTTCCGAACATAATCATTATGGCGACAACCCAACACATTGCGTCGTAACTCTGTCAGCTGAAGCACCTGCAAAGAAAGGATTTGAGGTGAGGGTGTGAGATCTTGATTCGAACCAAATCTAGTAGCACTATGGCATATTAAAAGACAAATACTGTGCCACGGTAGCGTTCACACTTTGCAGACGCGCGACGACGATCTAATTGCTTGCAACAGCGTTCTAAAGTTATAGACGCGAACGCAGTCGCAGGCCAGTGCCGACTGAAACCAGTCTGCGTGACGGGAGACGGGCAAAAGAATCAGAATTTGCCGCTCCGCCGCGGCGGCGATGGGCGCGGCGTTTTCTTAACTCGTGTTAACCTGTCGATTGGAGCACCGGACTTCATGTAGACCCCGTCATCGTAGACATTCATGACTATTTTCGGTTCTGAATTGCCTGTTGTCGCCATTACTACCTGGAACCATCGTCATTTGCGGGCGCGACGTCGCACGCGACGCCCACTAGCGCGGTGAATTACGATTCCTTGTCACATACCCCTGCGCGACTATGCAACACACACCATCCTATACACCATACTCTCTCGCCCATCGGCCGCGGCTGCGTTCGCGGACGGGAATCGATCGGCGCCGGAT